GGCAAGCCCGCGTCCCTCGGCCACCAGGTGAAGTCGCTCTCCTTGCCATACCAACTCTTGCTGGCCCAAGTCCAAACTGGCCCCCACTCACTGCATTCCTGGGGTGCTATCTGCTTGGATTTTGAATGTCCTCCCATGTTTGCATGGGTTTTCTTTGGGTGTCCAAAGACATACTGATAGGTCCATTATTAATTCCACACAAACTTACTTCCATCCATTTTCTAAACTTCCATTCAGGGTTTTAGGGGAACACAAATACATACACACTTATATTAGGGCCAATTTTATAATAGAAAATTAACCTATCAGCTTGTTTTTGAATTATAGGGGGAATTACAGTATATGGGACCACTATTAGAACAAACTCCGTACAGATATCTCTCCAGGAATTGATCACAGGGCCCCAGCACTGTGAAGCGGCATGGTTAACAACTGTGCCACCATGCTTCCCATTTTACCTTTTACCTTAATTAATGTAATGTGAATGTACCATTGTTTTATTCCTATATTTACTTTATTTACTCAATATTACACAATATTTATTGACCTACCTACAAAGTAAATGTAGATATATAACCTTAACATTACATTAGGAAGTGGTACCTATGATTAAATTTAAGAAAACGTGATATTCCCATCTACAGACTTGAAAAAGACTTCTGTCCTGTCTTGTGTAGTGAATAAATATTCAGAATACATTTTAGAAAACAGAAATAACAGAATGGACAGAACTGAGAATATGTCACTTTCACTTGTTTTTCTGTGGCATATGAGGAAAGCATCTTTATTGATTTATTGAATTGAAGAGATTTAATAACAAGAGTTATTATTAAGATTAATCTGTTATTTTGTAGTTGTTATGAAACTAATATACAAAGAACAATAATAATGCTGTGAAATAGTTATCTTGTACTAATTCAGTGAATATGAAATGGTAGAACAAAATTTTGTATTTGTTAATAAAGTAAAAATAAATATGAGCCATGACAGCGCAGGAAAAATCCAACTTCTATTCCGGTCTGGTATAAAATACTCTTGGCATTATCTTTACATTTGGATACTAATTAATGATTGACATTTTTGTATCACTTATCCAAATTCTATATCATAATAAATGTTGTAATATTTAAGATAAGCTATTTAATTGTTCTG